TTTTTTTTTTTTTTTTTTTTTTTTTTTTTTTTAATCTCAGCCTTGGTGTGCGCTGGGGGCCTCCCTCCCTGCTCCAGCCTCTTCTTTTTGAAACCCTTCACCCAACTTCCGGTCCCGTGTCCAGAGAGAAATGGCATTCACCTCATTTTACCACACTGGTTCACCAGCCTTGGGGAGAGTTACTGTGACCTAGAAGCAGGAGTCCTGGGTTCCAGTTGCAGCTCCGTCACTGACTCTCTGTGTGACATCTGGCAAGGCCCTTGCCCTCTCTGGGCCTCAGTTTCCCTCAAATAATTAAAATAATCTCTTAGCAGATGGAGCTCTTTCTAGCCTTTTCATTTGACTCTTAAGTCCCCAGGGCGAGGCTGGGATTGTAATTCCCATTTTTCAGATATGGAAACTGAGGCCCAGATATGAAGCGTTTGCTTGAGGCCACACAGCTAGGCTTTGGGTGGAGGCAGGCCTTGAACACAGTGTACTTTCTGCAGTTTCAGGCTCCAGAACCCCTGGGGTCTGGTCTCTGAATTCCATTTCTGAGCCCCCATCCATCTGGGACACTCTAGAACCCACATGATCTACACCACCTCTCTTGTAGCAATATACCTGTTCTCCTGTTGGGAACCAGATGAACAGAGCCCAGAGCCCTGAATTCAGCCTGACCCACAGGGAAGCCCTCCTAGGCTCGGCCCCTGCCCACCCTTGGCAAACATTTCAAGCTCATTCCAGTAAGAGGGGAGGCCACACCTCAGTCACGCCACCCCCTTCCAGGTCCCTGAGGCCGGGTCTGCTGCAGCCATGATCCCTACCTCGTCAGCAACCCCACCGACCCCTGATGGTTCCATCCACCTTCCAGATGGAAGACCTGTGGTTCCGGAATAGAAGAGGGCTGGTCGGCGCGGCCCAGTCACCACTTTTCAAAGATCACCAGCGTTTGTGACCACTCCAGTGTCCAGGAGAAACCTCTAAGAAGCCCAGAAGGAGTTCTGAAGAGGCAGACTGGGGGAGTGGGTCGTGGTGTGGGGCCGGGAGGGCCAGCACCCTTGAGAGCAAACAGAGATGAGAGCACATTCTCCCCACCTCCTCCCACAGACACCCCTGAGGACCTTGGTTCCTGTGTGCGGGCTGGGAGTCCAAGGGCAGGAGGATCAGGCCTCAGCTCCCAGTCTGTGATACAGGAGTGGCCCTGGGTTAGGAAGGAGGGCAGGAGGCGTGGGGGACTTAGAGAGAAACACAGATGGCTCGTACACCTGAGCCCGTCCGTGGTGAACACTCCCTCCTTGCTCTCCACCCTCTGATCTAGCATTCCCTACCATCTGCGGCCAGAATATCCTGGGCTAGGACCCCACCCCACCATCCCATCTGTAGTGCTGTGTCAAGGAGCCGGCCCCAGGAGTTCCTCTGGTTCCCCCAGGCACTGAGTCCCGGGTGGTCTGCCTAGGTAACTGTGCGTACAGCTCAAGAAGGGAGCAGCTCCCTTCAGACCTGACTGCTTCCCTGCCTCCAGCCCTCTCCTCCCACCCCCACACGCCCCGCCTCCTTTCTACTCCACGGGTTTAGCCACTGGTGCTTTGAAGCCTTTTGTTTTTATGAGATGGATTTTGCAAGGGGACCCAAGTTCTTTTCTCACTGGGACCTTGCAAGGCAGGGAGTGCTCCCCTGGTTTCTGTGCAGGTGGGTTGATTAAAGATGGTGATTTCTTCTCTATCTTTCTGTCCTCCTGCCCTGTGAGTGAGCAGGGTCCCTGCTTGAAGGTGAGCAGGGGCTGGGGGTCAATGTCATTGTCATTATCACTCCTGGGGCACCGGCCTGTGCTTCCGATTGGCTGCGTAGTTTTGAGAAGTCACTCTCCCTCTCTTTCCTCATCCATAAAATGCAGAGGTGGGACTCAGTCGGTGGGTTCCCAACCCTGGCTTCGCGACCCCTGGGAGAGCTTTCTAGTTCTTTTTTTTTTTTCATGAAGTACATTTTTTTTTTTTTTAAATTTTTTTTTTTTCAACGTTTATTTATTTTTGGGACAGAGAGAGACAGAGCATGAACGGGGGAGGGGCAGAGAGAGAGGGAGACACAGAATCGGAAACAGGCTCCAGGCTCTGAGCCATCAGCCCAGAGCCTGACGCGGGGCTCGAACTCCCGGACAGCGAGATCGTGACCTGGCTGAAGTCGGACGCTTAACCGACTGCGCCACCAGGCACCCCGATGAAGTACATTTTAAGTTTATGCTTCCAAATATCCTTTGCATCTCGACCCTGCCCTCTTCCTGACAATTCAGTTTCTGACTTAGAATGAGCTGACAGTGCTTTAGACACAGTTTCCTGGATCCTTCCTGGCAATACAGCCAGAATCCATATTTTTGAACTTTTACAATTTTATTTACTTTTGTGAATAGATCGTATGTATAGATGCTACAGAATTCAGAAAGTTCCAGGCACTGATGTCCTTTTGCTTATTTTTCATATCTTTCCAAAGGTAGACCATTCGTTGTTGGCTTATGTAAATATATTTTCCCCTTTTCACACAAATGGCAACATGCTCTCTTCAATCTTCAGCTTCCTCCCGCTGCTTTTACTTAACTCTGAATCTTGGAGACCTTCCGCCCAATGATACACATGGGGCTGCCTCCCATTCTTCCGTGGCAGTCTGGTAGGATTAGGACTTGTTAAGATTCCCAGGTCATCTTGATGCGGCTAGAAGCTGAGAACCAGACGTACTACCCAAGATGCCCCAGGTTCGCTACACAGACCTCTGTGGGCCACTCCTGGCCGTGGAGCTCAGGGGAAAACAAACCACAGACACCGCCTTCAAGGACTTTATGGTTTAGTGGGGCAGGACAGAATGGGCGGGGCAGAAGGGCGAATGCCGCTGGCAGGGCGTCAGGGCTGAGGACCGGGTGGGGTGAAAGGCAGTTGTTACTAAGAGGCTCAGGCGAGAGGCGACCTGAGTGTCCCGAACAGGGTCAGCAGCATGAGCCAGATGTGGAGGGGGCAGAGCACATGGTGTCATGGGGAAGAAGAGCGAAGGACCACGTGCTTGGAGGAAGCTTCAGTTGTGCTCTCCCAGATGATCGCAACGTTAGTGTCGTAAAACAATACAATTTGTTATCTTATGGTTGTAGAGGTTGGACATGAGTCTCACGGGTCAACTCAAGATGGCTGGAGGGTTGCATTTCTTTCTGGAGGCTCTGGGGGAGAATCCAAGTCCTTGCCATTTCTAGCTACTAGAGGCTACCTGCATTTCTTGGCTTGTGGCCCCTTCCTCCACCTTCACAGCCAGCAAGGTCCTGTCTCTCTCACCCTCCTTCCATCCTCACATCTCCCTCAGCCAGGAAAGGCTTTCCACTTTGAAGGGCTCATGTCATTAGGCTGGGCCCAACCAGATTATCTCCCCCACCTCAAAGTCCCTTTTGCCAGTAACACATTCACAGGTTCCAGGGATGAGAATGTAGGCACCCTTGGGGGCCATCATTCTGCCTTCCGGGGTAGGAGTTGAATCCAGGCTATAGCCACACTGATGTCAAATCAGGGCATGTTAGCTGATGGGAAGTCCTGAAGGATTTTGAGCAGAAGCCACTCTTTTAGAGCTGTCCTTCTAGGAGAAGCTATTTGCAAATGACATATCCGATAAAGGGTGTG